ACCTCTTGTTTATAGAAAAGCTTTAGCCTCCTAGGCCTTCCCCAAGTTCCAAAGAGCAAATTTAATCAAGAAAAGTGAGAAATGCAGAAACAAAGGAAATCAGTCAAGCAAGACAAAATAATAGTTTAGCCATAAAGTCAAGGACCTTTAGTTCCTCCTCAAGGGCTGTAGATAATATCCTGAGCCATATCCTTGAGTTCTTTTTCAGATATTAAAATCCCCACCAGGCAGAGAAAGTTAACTGCATGCTGACCACCAGCACACAGACCCCAGACCAGTTGGAACCAGAAGGTTGATGACTGAGATTCACAAAACATCACCATGTTACCTCACCATCACCAATTAGAGAATTGTGTAGGAGCTGATCACACAACCTATGACCCTCTCCCTCACACTGGCATTAAAACTCTTCTCTGAAAGCCATGGGGGGTAGGGAGGTTTGGGTCCTTTGAACACTAACTACACATTCTCCTGTGTGGTGCCCTGCAATAAACACTGTACTTTTCTTCATCACAACCCAGTGTCAGTATATAGGCTTTGCTGTGCATCCCAAGCACAGCAGACCCAAGTTTTGTTCGGTAATATGCCCAGCACAATACATAACACGTAATGAGTGCTCAATGAAATTTGTTGGATGAAAGAGGAGTCTTGCTGGGCTAGCAGGATCTCACTCCCTCTAGAAACTCTTGCTATAGATACTTTCTCCTCAGTCAGGGGTCAGTCACCCTCTAAACTTTTATAAGATAGGGTGGTCCTCTAAACTGTCTTCCTTTCCTCCTCCCTCCTGCTAATCTCCAATTTTCCTACTCATCCTCATAGTCCCAGTTTAGGTTCTCTAACATCTAAAACATTCCTTGACCAGCTCAGCCAGAAATTATCTTTGAAACACTTATAAATACAACTCATTTGGTAAGTGTCATACATTACCTAATATTATAGTTACTTCCACAGAGTGTGGTACCTTATGTACTTAAATACACGTGTTGGTGACCTATAGCTCATTCCAACATATGGGTCACAGACACCCTGTCCTAACCACCTTCCCTATCATGCTCTGGAACTTCAAATTTTGTGACTTCACATTTGCTTGATTGTATCAACAGTGACTACTATAGCCATATCTGGCACCAATTATAATTATTATAGGCTAGAGCTCACCATAACCTACAATGTCTCCACCTTCCCAGATACAAACTGAAATTTCCCTCTCACTGCAACTTCCTATTCATCTGCCTCTCAGTCATTCCCACCAAATCTGAGCTTCATCTGTCTCATAACCAGTTCTTCAACTCTTTTCTACTCCTCCCAGTTCATCAATCTCATTCTGTCTTTCCTAAAGAGCCTAGATGCCACAGTCAGCTATTTCAACAAACTGGCAAACCATTCTAGACTTCCTCATTGTCCTCCCTCCACTGTTCCTTCTTTACCAGTCCTTCGTCCTGGTTAATTAACTCAGGCTGTCTGTTTTCTCCATCCCAAGGCAGCCAGGAATTACTGACCAAAGTCACAAAGCCATGCTGATTAGGACTACTACACATTCACTCTTATCTAATCTCAGGTAGATCTTTCTTGCTGTTTTGCATCATTGCCATTTTCTATGGCACAGTTTCTACCCCATTTTTCCTAGATCCTCTATCCCACGCATCATCCTTTTTATTCTCAAAAGATTAACCTCAGAAAAGCAAGTCCATTCAATATGACTTCTCTAAATGTTTAGCCACCTCAGAATCTCTCTGTACATTTCCCTTCCCATTCTTCCTTTTCAGTGGCCAAAGCCAACCTGTCTGCCTCTCTCTCTCTCCTGATCTAATGATCTCCTCTGAGACTTTAACTTTTTTTTAAATTGAAGTATAGTTGATTTACCATGTTGTGTTAGTTTCAGGTATACAGCAGTGATTCAGTTATGCATATGTGTGTGTGGTGTGTGTATGTGTGTGTGTGTATATATATATATATATATATTCTTTTTCAGATTCTTTTCCCTTATAGGTTATTACAAACTATTGAGTATAGTTCCCTGTGCTATACAGTAGGTCCTTGTTGGTTATCTATTTTGTACATAGTAGTGTGTATATGTTAGTCCCAAACTCCTAATTTATCCCTCCCCCCTCTTTCCTCTTTGGTAACCGTAAGTTTGTTTTCTATGAGACTTTAATTATTTATCTCTTCTTTAAAGTAGTTAATTATATTTTTAGTTTTTCTCTCAATTAGCCCTTCCCCTTTTCTAAAACTTGCTTAAATCTTTCCTACTCTCCAAAAAAAGAAAGTTCTCTGCTGCTTCCTCTTCTGTTCATTGTCCTCATTCCTTTCTTTGCTTTATTGTTAAATATTGCTACCACCTCTTCACTCTTTAACCACTTGCAATTAGCTTTTGCCCCCTTCAACTTTAACTTCTCTGTTACTTCTCTCTTCTTATCACTCTGATCATTTGTCTCTGTGTCCCTTGCCAACTTTTCCCCAGGTTTCTGTCTTGGGACTTCTTTTTTTTTTCTACTTTCTCCTTTGTTGATCCCATCTAATTCCACAACTTTACTTATAATTATGTGAAGAAGTCCAAATTTCATTCATATTTGGCTACTACTTTTATTTCAAACTCCAGATCTATATTTCCTAGAACGCTAAAATTTCAGCTATGGAGATCTCAGAGGTCATTTAACCTAAGTCTTCATTGCCTGGATATCTCCACCAAATGGCTCACTGGCTTTTAAAAAGTCAATGATTTCAAAACTGAACACCTCATTTTCTGTCTGCTTCCAATTCCATTTCCAAATCAACTCCTCTTCTTGAATTTGTTTCTACAAGTAGTCACCTTGAGGCACATGGTCTCCTCATTCCCTATATTCAGTCAGCTGCTAATCTAGTAGATTACATTGCCACAGACTCAATTACGTTCACTGTTTTCCATTCTAAACTATCATGTTTCTAGTTTAAATCCTAATTATCTCCTACCCAGAGTATTGCAGTGGACTCCTGGCTAGACTGTCCACCCCCACTATCTTTCTGCTTGGAATTCTGAATGATTTTTATTCATTACCACTAGATTAATCTTCCTAATGAACAGTTCTGATCTGCCACTCTCTGGCCTAAAACCCTTAAATGTCTCCCCTGGATAACTAAATTATTCACTAGTTCCTTATCCTGGCATTCAGAGTCCTCCATGTTCTGGACTCAGTTCTATTTTTCTAGCCTTCATGCTGACCCCATCACCTAGAATACCCTTCCTTCACCTTTACCTGGCAAACTCCTAAATTCTTTAAAGCTGATTTCAAATACCCACCTCCATCACAAAGTCTATTTTTGTGGGGGGGACCCTAAACTGAATATGAACCTTCATTTGAACCCCTATACCACTTTATTAACACTTTTACTTCAATGCTGACCAGATTTTGCCTCATATGATAATAATCTGTGTATTCTATGCTTCTCAAACTTTTCCATTAGAAGTGTACCTAATTATACAGGAAAATGAACAGCCCCAAGGCTATCTGTCACAACAGGCTGCCTGGAAAATTAAAATTTAATATGAATTTTTCAGTGTTATTAGTATTAGACTGTTTTAATATGAAAATGTAGTGCTTTTTGACTAACACTCTAGGAAGACGTGTCTATTTAATCTTGAGGATTTAAGGTACACCTGGCACACTGTGAAAACCCTCCCCACAAGCCCACTAAACTTTACAAGCCCACTAAACTTTCTATGGCAGAGACTGCCTTACTACATATGTATCCCCTGTAAAACTAAAACAGTACCGTCTTCAAATAGACGCTCAAAAAATATTGTTGAACTGTGACTCAGGATACGTTAGCAAGTATTTACTAAATGTTTACCAGGTACCTAGACCTGTACTGTTTCAAAGTGATCAAGTCTCCATGGGATGACTGTGAACAAGTAAAAAACTGTACATGAGTTAAATCATGAAACGTAAGCCATTTGTGTTCCGCAAGATGACTCAGTCTCTCCATTCCAGACCCCAAGTGACACATTGGAATAGTGTGTCTGACCTCTTAATTATTTTCTGGTGATTGATAATTTTCTGCTAACACTGCGCAAAGCTTAATCCTCTTCACCTGGAAATAAAAGGTTTCCATCATTTCGCTCTCCAATTTGAAGCTCAGCAAAGCCTCCTGGGCGCGGGGCGGTGGAGCCGAAGGAAGTCTGACCCCATCAAAGGAGCAAAAATGCCAGAGCTACCAGCACCACCCCCTCACATCCCCCAAGGGCTTCCAATTGGTCCTTGTGGGTCACTCTCTTTCCGGGTTGGCCTTCCAGCTTGCCCGTCGCCTCCATAGAACCCACATTTAGCCAGCAACTATTGGTAGGTCGTTACGTCATTGCCCTATCTACCCCGCTCCCATTGGCTCCCATAGGAAGGGGCGGCCGCAACGTCACAGGCAAGAGCCGCCATTTTGACTGAGCAACCCTAGTGACAGGAGCTGAAGAAGCAGCGCAGGTTGTCCCGTTTCCCCTCCCCCTTCCCTTCTCCGGGTGACTTCCTGGGTCCCCTACACTCCACAGTCCCGGTCCCGCCATGTCCCAGAAACAAGAGGACGAGAACCCTGCGGAGGAGACTGGCGAGGAGAAGCAGGTGAAATGGAGGGGGTGCGGTGGGCGAGCTGGGGGCGACCGTGATGGGGCGGGAGACGGTCTCCCACCAGTGCGGATTGGTCGCCATGGTCTCGGGCTCTGCAGGGGTTGGCCACTTCTTGCGTCATGCAGGGTGAGCTTCAGTACGGATTGCTGCTTTGGCGCTGGTTAGCTGGATGGATTGTCAATCAATGCGGTTCTCTTCTTGATTGGCCAGTAGACCTACCGCTCAACTCATTGAAGTTGTGCTATAATTGGCCGAGCCTGGGCGCGGGGCGGGTGTTTAGAAAGACTGGGTGAATGAAAGGGGTTGGTGGTCCCGGGATGAGATGTGTGTTACTGGTTAGTAGGGGTAAAATGACCCAACCGCTAGGCTGGGGCTTGCATTCTAAATCCCCAGAAAGATACAAGTAGAGGTAAAGACGTTTAAAAAGGACCAGCACTGGGGGAAGGGAGAAGAGTAATTATTATCATGGCTAGTTTAAGGCGGCAACTTTCTCAAAGAGACCTGTTTTGACCGCTGGAGATGGTCTGTTGCCCACCTTCAAAGAGGACCTTACAAAATTGAAGAGGACTAGAGTGCCAAACAGAATAATGGAGGTTAAACCTAGAAAAGACGCCGACAGAGTCGTGACAAGAAAGACGCCACCATATTCCCCCCAGACTTCCAAGGTAGTGGGACTTAGTTAACCTGCAATTCTGTGATGAAAACACGCCACCCTCTTTGGGGGTTTGTATTTGACTTATAACATTTAGTACTGGATTCGGGTTCATGAAATACACCCGGTGTTATGTCTGTGCCAGGTTTTCAAGGGAAGGGAATGTAATTCCACTAAAAAGAGCCACAAATTGGCTTCATGTCCTTTTTTAAAAAGTCAGTAAAGAAAAGTGCAGCAGGGCCTACAAAAAGCAGGCAGGGAGTAACAGCAACAGTAAGAGCCCCCGCAAGCTAATTGAGCTCTTGGCATGTTCCCCAAACTTCCGTCACTAGGGAAGGTGTTGATTTTTTGGCAAAGCTGGTAGGTAAATACTAGTGAACCTACTGTACCTTAATTTTCTTGAGGTTAAAAAGTGTCATTTTAATCTCTGTTTACCTGTCACCTTCCTACTACAGTGTTTATGGAAGCAATGCTGTCCCATTACTAAGGTGGAGATGTCTGGAGATGGCTACATAGCTAGCCTCCTCCGTAGAGAGACTTATCTGCTGACTAGCTTAGGAGGGAACATCTCAGCAGTTATCCCCCTTGATTTCCCATTTGACCTGTACTGTGTTTTAGGGACAGCTAGGAAACTTTCATACTAATTTTGTATAACCAGAAGCCCTGTTGGCTCTTTTCTCTGTCTTTCCTAGCTTCTGTTCTGAGTGAGATATCGCTTGCTCTTTGAGTGAAGTATTGTGTTTAGGTTTAGGTATAGGTCACTCACAGGTCACTGGGGTGGTTCCCTGGGTTTCGTGTGAGAAGCAAGTTATCTTTTCTTCTCACAGTACAGTCATCTTGAGCTTTAGGGATCTGAACAAAGGTCTAGCTTTATTTAAGAACAGAGTGGAAATAGCATGTTTACTAATGGGTAGACCTCCAGGAAAAGGTAATAGTATAAAAGTTATCAGATATTAGAAGCAGTTGCTTCTTAGTGTTTAATTTTATTGGCCCGTTTGTTTCCTCCAGGACACACAGGAGAAAGAAGGTATGCTCCCTGAGAGAGCCGAGGAGGCAAAGCTAAAGGCCAAATATCCAAGCCTAGGACAAAAGCCTGGAGGCTCCGACTTCCTCATGAAGAGACTCCAGAAAGGGGTACGGGGCACAATCTCTTACCCTCTTACTTCGGAGCCAAAGGAGGCCTTAGGGATGAGATCTGTGGAAGTTCTACTGAACACCAATATGAAGATTTTGTTGTGGGGCAGTAGTAGAGAGAAATTAGAAACTTGTAAAAAGCAAGGCAAATATTGTAAATCCCTGAAATGGTATCGGTTATCTTCTGATTTCCCACGTAGGATATTAAGGCTTAATGTAGGGGCATTTGGGTATGGGGTTGGGGGACTGAGGGAAGGATGTTAGAGTCTGGAATGCTGACAGCCTCCAGACATTTGCCTGTTTGGATGGTGGGAGTTTTAGGATTGCACATTTAGGATTAGAGCTAAATTTTGGGGTGTGTCATTTCAGAAAAAGATCAGCCCATCTGTCCTACAGATTTCCTCAACTTGAAATGAATAGTAGGTGTCTTTAGACCCTTGAAGTTAGCACCAACTACTAACTATGCTCCCTGAAGAGACTTATTTTTCCTGTCCAGAATGGTCCTTCTCCCAAGGCAGAGTCTTACCTTCATAGCCATCTAGCTCCTGATCAGGTTTCTCAGTCCTCAGAGGTACTGAAAGCTGACTGAGGGATTGTATGTCATTAACCTGGAGTGTGTTTCTCTATGTGGATGAAATGGAGAGGGAAGCAGATTCCTGTGGAGAATCCCGGTTACTGAGTCTTAGTCACAGATGATGATGTGATGCTGATTTGCAGTTTACCTTGCTGTAAGCAAGGCAGGCGTGGGCAGGCTGTCAGAGCCATGGAACGTGTGTGGGAGTGCTTGCAGTCAGAGGAAAGTACATTCTCATGAACAAGCCCAGTTTCTATTCATAGTCTGAGAGAATAATTTTTAATTTTGAGGTTGTTAGCTTGAGGTTGATCTCCTGCTGATAGCCCCAGATCGACCCTTCTATGTATCTTATTCATTTCTGTTTCCCCAGCACCAAGCCCATTGGAGGCTAATAGGTCCTTATAAGCCTTAGTGAATAAAGTCAGTAATTTGGTTGAACCATCCTGTACTCATGGGGCTACAAAAGATGTGGGTACAGAGGATGTAGGAGCTATCTCTTAACTCCAAAAATAACACCCTAGTTGGGAAACTGCTTCCATACCTGAAAAAGTCAGAACACACTGGGGAGAAGACGTAAGTAAATGTAATTAATGCTAAGCTCTGTATGCATGAGACTAATCCAAAAGAGACTTGAAAGGTCTGAGCGTGGATGCAGGTTTATAGTGGATGTGAGTCTCCTTGTTTTTGAGGAAGACCAGAGCTCCTCACTCACCTAAACCTCCCTCTTATCTCTTAGCAAAAGTACTTTGACTCAGGAGACTACAACATGGCCAAAGCCAAGATGAAGAATAAGCAGCTGCCAAGTGCAGGACCAGACAAGAACCTGGTGACTGGTGACCACATCCCCACCCCACAGGATCTGCCCCAGAGAAAGTCCTCACTCGTCACCAGCAAGCTTGCGGGGTAACCGGGGCCCCCTTCTGCTCCCCTTCCTCACCCACTGGACTTTTGTATATCATAGGCAGGGATGGAATGGGCACCTAGTTATATCTTCTCAGCTTGCTAGCCAGAAATGACTGTGATTCTCCTGGGGGCTGCTGAGAAGGTAATGTGGGCTGAAGAGAGGCTCTGAGTTCATTTCTTTGGATAAGTTGAGATTTCCACACCCTCATGTAGCCCAGGTAGGGGCTCAGAAATAGGAGACTAGGATTGGATAATGCTGCAAACTCTTTTTCTTTTGTACAAAAAACTGGGGAGATGTGACTTCTACTTTTGGAAGAGAATATCCCAAAATTGGTTAGGCTAGGCCTTGGGAATAATATGACAGGTTTAACATCCCAAGGCTAACCTGACATGGCTGGGAAAGATAGATTGAATGGGATCTGTTTTCTGTGCTTTAAATGTTTTGTCCCTTGGGCTGCTACTGCTTCATGTTTCCATTATGGCAGGTGTAGAGAAGCCTCAAAAGGAAAAACTGATTTGCTTGCCTAAAACTATAATGCCCACTTAACCTCCTTTACTCAGTCAGTGTCTTTTACAGTTTGCCCTGGTTCTTAAATAATGTAAAGATTGGAGGATATAATTCACATAAAATGGGCACCTTCTCTCTCTCTTCCAGCATGTTGCTTTTTGAAAGTATCGTGGGATAGTGGAAAGAACACTGGGTTAAGAGTCAAGGTATCTGGGTTCTAGTCCCACTCAGTCTAGGCAGAATTGACATGTAACCTTGGTCAAGGCATTTAACCTCTCTGGATTTCTATTTCCGCCTCTGTAAAACAGTTGAATATAGATAAGATTGATTCTGATTCTAAAATCCTGAAAAAAACTGCTGTTCATTGTAAAGCCAAAAGTGAGGAAGGCCCATAGGTGAGCCTACAGAGGGGAACTATTTGAAGACTACACAGGGAGAGAAGTTGAGGTTTGGGGGTTATAAATTCAGGCAAGAGGGCCTCATAAGTATCATGGTCTTGAGGGTCAAGAAAAAAAATTCTAAGAAGCTAGCCATGAAAGCTCTTGCCTCTGCCCTCACCTGCTTTCCTACAATCTGGGCCCTTGCTGCTAAAAAGCTGCTCTGGCAGCCAAGCTGTGGGCCTGAAGAAACATGCTCAGTCATGCACATTTGGAGTCCCATATTTCAGATGTTATCAGCTGCCCGGTGTATTGTTAGGGAGACAAGAAGAAAAGGGATGAACTGAGCGAGCCTCCAGGGCTTAGTGCTACTGCAGGGCTGGAGCAGCAGGTTCTCAGGAGATGAATCACCTTGGAGGAAGCTGGGGAAGGTGGTTAGGGAGAAGGAGCACTGAGAAATCTCTGCCTTCCTAGAGCCCAGTAACCCAGCTCCCGTGCTCTGAGAAGTAGCAATGCTGATCGTGAACCAGGTGGGGGAAAGGGGCTGCAGGTGGCCAGCATCATCAGTCTAGTTATCACTGGCTTGGCCTGAATGTTACTGAATGCAGCCTGCTAGTTATCACAGAGAGAGCAGGGTGCGAACTAGCCGTTCAGGAGGGGAAGATTCTATAATCCTCTCTTGCCCTCTCAGCTCACCAGTTCTGATGTACCACACATCTGGCCTGATGAGGACGACTGATGAACTTGCTAATGCACGTGGGGGGGCGGTTAGGGTGTGTCTCTACTTCTTTCCTGACCAGCCATTCACTTTTCAGGCCATCATTCAGATTGGATAGGAAAAAGTTGGTGAGGAGGGAATGGAGAGAGCAGGATCCTGTGATTCCCTGGCCCCCAAACTCCTTGGCTGTCACTTGTAATTGTATATAATTTTTGTGTTTCTTGCTCCATTTCCTCATGCTGTCTTCCTTAGTCTAAAGTCCATGTGGGAAGGGGAAAATGCTGAACATCCTTGTATAGTTTCCTCAACTGTCCCAGACATGTTGTACATAGATATGTCATGTTATTATATATATAAATATATATATAATTTTGTACGTTTTCTTCACCTCCGATCTTCTCAAATTTTGTATTTTCTGTCTGAGCTGCTTTCTCTGTCGGTCAGTATGACTCCTCAAGACTGAGGCCACAGTGAGTCTGGTTTTTAGGAAGGAATAGAAGAAATAGGGAAATCAGAAAAACTGTTGGTCTCGCTCTCCACCTGGTCATCTTCAAGGCTAAGAAAACAAAGAAGCAAGCTACGTTCTGTATATGCCACCTGTTTCCACAGCGTGAAGTACATAGCTTCCATGGCAAAGAAGGGTCATTTCAAAATCCAAATCCAAATTGCTTTGATTAAACCTAGATTATTAAGTCCACTCAGAACAACATGTGTGCTGTCTGGCCCTGACCTCCGTGCAGTTACCACCTGATCACTGTGTGCCCCCAGTCCGTCTCCGCTGCTGCAAGTGGCTCTGGCCATGCCTCTGAAACCAAGCCTGCTCTGAGCCAGGCAGCTTACACCCCTGAAAACCTCCAGTTGTTTTGATCTTGTCTAAAGAATTTGTTTTTGTTTTTGTTTTCATGGGTATCTCCAAAAAGACAGAGAACATTTTGTTTTGAAGACAGGAAAAGACTGAAATTCTTTTTTTTTTTTTTTAAACAACTCGCTGAGACATGTGCCAGGTAGCCCTAATGATTGTTAAGTGTGGAAGAGTGATGGGGTAGAGACTGGGGTGGGACTTAGGGTTCTTTCCCTTACTGCTTGACAGTGTTTTCTTTTTCTTCTGTGTTCGTCCGCAGTGGCCAAGTTGAATGATGCTGCCCGGGGCTCCGCCAGATCCTGAGACGCTGCCCCCCTGGGTCCTGTGCTGGCTCCTGCCCCTCCCTGCTTTTGCAGCCAGGGGTCAGGAGGTGGCTCGGGCGCGGGCTGGAGAGGCAGAAGCCCCTGCCCGTCGGTGTCCCAGCGCATGGAGCCCCTTGGGCTGAGCACCAAGACCTTGAACCTTTTTTGTTTTTCCTTTTTCTCCAAATAATTGTTGGGAGACATCTCAGTGAAATCCTGGGGGTGGGGTGGGGGGTTGGGAGGGTGGAGTGGGAGATTTGGGGGAATATGAATTAGGGCTTGGAGTTGATAAAAACATTCTTGGCTATCCTCCTTAACCATGTGGCTGGTGGGTGGGTGTGAGGAGGAGGAAGTAAAATGGACAAAAGATGAGAGGCTCTAATTCAGCTCTGTAGAAGAATGCCTTGCTTGCTTGGATGTGGCTGGGGACCTGGTGTCAGATAAAAGAAACTGACCGTCTAAATATGAAAGATGCAGACAGCTCCTCTGGTTCTGCAGAACAAGCTGAGAACTCAATTATGCATTAAAAAAAAAAAAAGTGCTGTCCTTGAAATAGATTTGCTGCGGGAAGAAGGGCAGTGAGCGTGGGAGAAGGGGGCCATGAGCGTGGGGAGCCCCACAGAGCCCAGGGAACTTTTTCAGTTTGAAATAAAAAACAAAAGAAGACCCACCAAAAAAACCCAACCCAGAAATACTCTGAAGCAGTTGGTGTGTTTTATTGGGGTTTGGGGAAAGGGAAGAAAACAATACTGAAGACACCATTCAAGGAGAGAAGCCAGTGTGGGGCCTAAGTTTCTAAGGAACAGGGGCCCTTCATGTGGGATGTGTCTGGGTTCCCCGTTTCCCTAATTTACGGAGAGGGAGCAGGGACGTTGGCATTAGACCAGGACTTTTCCTGACTCCTGTCCAAGCTACTGTTTCCGTAGCTAATGCAGAAGATGCAGCCACCTCAGGTTTTGACTCACAAAATAAGGGGTTTGCGGTATTTGATCTAAATGGTTTATTGACACCTAAAGCTCAGTACAGGCTAAGCAAAAAAGGAAGCCTGCTTTTCCTTTTCCCTTTCAGTCTTCCATTCCTTCACAAGCTCTCATGTCTGTGAAGGAGAAATGTGACCTCTAGTAATAAGCCAAAAGGAACGCAAGCCTTTCTGCTAGTGGCCAGTAGGGGGCAGAGTCACTTCTTTCCTCATGATGTCCTAACCGCTGGAATCCTGCCACTGAAAAAAGTTTAAAACTACTTGTGAGTGTAATATACAAAAGAAATGTTACCCAAGGAGAAACAAACTCACTTGTCTCCTCTCACACCAATCTACCATGTGTGAAGATTGAAACTTGCCCATTTGCCCAAGTTTGATTAAGAGAATTTATCATGGTATTTTCCCAAATGTGATTGGCTTCTCAAATGAGTGTGCATCAAGGAAGATAAACAGGGTCCAGGAGACATAGATATTCCAGAGAAATCTCTATCATATTGAGGGGGAGGAGTACTTCTAAACTAGAGAAGGAATGTTGTTCTCAGTATCTAACCCATTCTTCTTAATCAGAAACTTTCCAAATAAGTTTTCAGCTACTCGGGATGTTATACTGACTTGCTCTCTCGTGATTTAGCCAGCGGATTGTGATGCCTCCTAACCATCAGCCTTTCTGAACAGCATGCTAGACACTAAGTGAACCAGGTGGTTTGGAGAAATATATTAAAGGCATTCCCTACCTTTGTGGGGTTTATTGTCTAACTGGAAGAAAATATATGAAAAAGTTCATATACTTCAAAAGGTATAAACTTTATATCTTTTTTTTTATACAGAGAACATTTAAAATTTTTACTTAGCGATTAGAGCCATTTTTCTCTGGTCTCCACGTTTTGGGGTTGTTTTTAGATACTTCTTCATTTCTTTCTTTTTTATTTTTTTTGGTCACGCGGCACATGGGATCTTAGTTCCCCGACCAGGGATCAAACCCACGCCCCCTGCATTGGAAACACGGAGTCTTAACCACTGGACTGCCAGGGACTTCCCTAAACTTTATATCTTAAAGCTAGGAGATATATGAATGTTTATTGTGGTGGGGTTTCTGAGCCTTCTCATCCTTATTCCCCTTAAACCAGTCCCATGACTTCTTTTTGAGCATGTTGTCCCTAGTTTTATGTTTGCCAGGTGGCTACAGCTGGGGAATGAGGCCAGCAAGTCTCAAGATGTGGAATCATCTAGTTAGTGCAGTTTCATTTAATATATAGGTAACGGAAGTTAATATACCGGTAACGGAAGTTAATATACAGGTAACGGAAGTTGACATACAGAAATAAGTTACTTACAAGGTGGCAGTGCTAGTTTACTGAAGAGCTTGAGTTAATATCTAGGCTTTTATATGATTTTTCCATTATTCTTGGCTTCCCTGGCCCTTAGGTTTAAGCATAGCATTAGGGATCCTGGGGTGCCAAGAAATGTTTGTTCCTATTTCTGTTTCAGTTTAAAACGTGCCATTTTTTTTCCTTCACTCCCATACTATAGGGCTAGGCGGTCAGGGAAGACTGATTCTGCAGTGCTTCAAATAGCTGTTCCTGCCCATTATTTTAGCTTTTCTAAAATCTTTATTCCAGAGAGTGGATTCAAGGGTTCTTCTACTCATCCAACATGGTTGAGTGATAATTGTGCTGACAAGCCTCTCAGTTGAGCCATCTGATATGCAGGGTGGCAGGGATGAAGTCACCATTTTTATTGTCCAGCAGCATTTATTTTAAGCTGTTGTGGCCCTAGCATGGAAAACACAGGCAAAAGAAAAATAGCCCGGAGAATTGCCATTGACGATATCTACAGTCAGCCAGTGGCACCCACACTAGCAGCCCTTGTGTGTATAGTGCCCTCTACTGGGCCTTGAGGGAGGTTAACAAGGAAAGGGAAGATCTCTTCCCTTGGAAGCTAAGACCTGACAGTGGCATACAAATAAAAGCAAATTAATGTAAGATCCCGAGTGGCGGGAGTTTCCCTGGTGGCGCAGTGGATGAGACTCCGTGCTCCCAAGGCAGGGGGCCCGGGTTCGATCCCTGGTCAGGAAACTAGATCCCACATTGCATGCCGCAACTTACATGCCCACAATAAGAGTTTGCATTGCCGCAACTAAGGAGCCGGCGAGCCACACTAAGGAGCCTGCCTCTGGCAACTAAGACCCGGTGCAACTAAATAAATAAGATCCCGCGTGGCATGCGGCATCTTAGTTCCCTGACCAAGGGTTGAACCCATGTCCCCTGCAGCGGAAGCAGAGTCTTAACCACTGGACCTCCAGGGAAGTCTCCAAATTAATGCAGTTCTAAGCAGAATTCCCACAAGCTAAGAGAAGGAGGGTCAGGAGATGAGTTGTTAGCTGAATTTTCTTAGAGATGGGTGACTTACTAATAAAGATAAGATGAGGCTGCTCATGCTTGGGCAGCAATATTTTAATTCACAGGTATTGGATTGGCCAAAAAGTTCGTTCGGGTTTTCCCATAAGCTCTTTTGGAAAAACCCAAACGAACTTTTTGGCCAACCCCAATAATTGTTGAACTCTAACTTTGCGATTGGAAATATTAGCAGTTGTTGGGCAGATAAACAGTATAAGAAATGGTGTCTGCCCTGAAAGAACTTGAAGCCTCATTGAGACAACACTTCTACATATAATACATGTCAGTGGTAAAAGAATTCTGAGAAGAGGAAATTCAGAGGGCTGGAATCATTAGGTAAATATTAGTGGAAGAAATGGAGATTGAACTGGGCCTTGAAAGATGGGTAGTATTAAATTGTCTAGTTCAATTATCAGTTAATAAGTGCCTGTAATATGCCAGGCATCGTGCTAAAATATAAATGATATGTGGGTGCTTCTTTCAAGGCGATTCCACTCTGGTGGGGGAACTACACCTGAGGAAATCATATGCAGTGTTAAACTTGCAGCAGTAGAAGCCCAGCTACATGGAGGAATAGGAACAAGTATTTAATAGTAATTGCACCTAGCCCATTGCTAAGTACTCAATTGACATCATCTCATTTAGTCCTCACAACAATTCTACAAAGTAGGTAGTCTTAGTCTTGCCATTATACAAATGAGAAAACTAAATCAGTAACTTGGCCAAGTCACATAGCTTCCGAGAGTGGAGGCAGGATTCCACTGCCTGCAGTGGGATGGGGAAAAGAGTGATCAGGAAGCACTTCCACTGCCGGGCCGGTTCAATCCCTGGTCGGGGAACTAAGATCTCACAAGCTGCATAGTGCAGCCATAAAAACAAACAAAAAAAGAGTGATCTGGGGACTTCCCTGGTAGTCCAGTGGATGCAGGGGACATGGGTTCGATCCCTGGTCAGGGAACTAAGATCCCATATGCTGCGGAGCAACTAAGCCTGTGTGCCACAACCACTGAGCTCGCATGCCACAACTAGAGAGAAGCCGTCGCACCACAACGAAGAGCCCGCACACCACAACGAAGACCCGATGCAGCCAAAAATAAATAAATGAATTAATAAATCTTTTTAAAGAAAAAGTGATCAGGAAAGATTTCATGGGGCAAATTCTGAAGGAGGAACAGGATTTCTCCAGAAAGGTAAGGTGAGAAAGCGCATTTTTGTACAGGGACCAACACTTAGAGAAGGATGAAACTGTGGAATCTGTGGTGATTCTGCAGTAACAGTATCAAGTGAGTCCTGGGGAGTCACTGGAGACCAGGCCAGGAAGGTAGACAAGGATATGGCTTGCAGGCAGCTATAGGAACCACTGAGGGGATTACAAAGAAGAAATCTTGTCAGTTCTATGTTTTAGACAGGTCACTGCAAAATTGTGTGGAGAAGGGATTTAAAGGTAATAGATTTAGTGATGGACTGGTTCTAGTGTCAGGTTTCCTGGTTTTGATAATTTGGGACAAGTTTCTTAAACTCTCTTTGCTTCAGTTTACTTGTTTTGTAAAATAGGAATGATGTAGTACCCACCACAAATGACTGTTGTGATGATTAAACAAGATAAAGCACGAAAAGCCCTTACTTCAGGGACTACAACAGTGCCTAAAATATGGTTCCTGCCCCCAGGGAGCTTAAAGACTACTGGGGGATATAATAAAGACAGGTAGACTGACAATTATTAGAATACAAGGATTCGGTGCTAAGATAGGGATAAGCACAAAATGCTCTGGAAGCACAGAATACACACCTAATTTGGGCAGGTGGGAGAAGAACAGTCAGGAAAAATCCCTTCACACAAGGTAGCTTCTAAGCTGAAATATGAGGGAGTAGTAGGACTTAGGTAAAGGGATTAGATTGGGAAAGGTCTTCCAGGTGGAAGAAACAGTATGTGAAAAGATGTAGAGGTATTACATTCTGGAAACTTAAAATAATTGAGAGTAGCTGTAGCATAGCATGCAAGGAATGAGGCCAGATGTCGGTGGAGGGAAGCAAGGGTTAGATCACAAAGGGCCCTTTAGGCTTTATTCTGGAGGCAATGTGAAGCTGCTGAATAAAGGTTTTGAGCAAGGAAATGACATGATCAGATTGGCTCCTTAGAATAATCTTTCTGATTGCAGTGTCAGGAAGAGATCGGAGAGGGTATAATGGATGTATTAGAGACGCTATTAATGGGATGGAAAAGTTGGGAAGGGTTAAGGCTATTGTGAAGAGGAAGATGATGAATTCAATTTGAGACATAATAAGTTTAAAGTAACAATGAAACATCTAAGTGGAGAATTCTGTACTATACTTAGTAAACTGTTACCATGGGTTAGTTGAGTTATGAGTGAGACAGACTGTATGTTGCTACAGTACTGTAGGTTAGATATGACTGGGAAATAAAGAAGGTAATGATAGTGAGGATGAAGAAGAGTGAACAGATTCAAGAGATATATGAGAAGTACAATCAACAGAACTTCATGGGGGTGGGACTCGGGAAGAGACAGGACTCCAATAAAAAATTCCAAGTTTTCTGGCCTGAGTTGCTGGGTAAATGAGAATACAGCTGGAAGAGCAAGTTTAGCAAGGAAGACAATGAGATCAGTTTTGCCGAAGAGTTGATATGAGGTGCCTATAGAACATCCGAGAGTAGATGACTAGAAAGTTACTGGATTTATGAGTCTAGAGGTTGGATAAAAAGTCAGAATAGGAGATACAGATTCTGTAGACTTTAAGATGTACTAGTAAAGCCATGGCCGTGAAAATACAGAGAGCAGAAAGACTGAAGAACTGATCCTGATGAAGGCTGACATCTGAAAGGAATAGAGAAAAGGGCCCAGCAAAATAGGAGAATCAGGAAGATGTCGTGCCCAAGGACAGAGTTTAATGGAGAAACTCAATCAGTCAATAGTGTAAAATGCTATTAGAAGTTAAGTTTAAAAACGAGACTATCTCACCTATGTAATAAAAAGTGCCCCCAAATTTCAGGAAAGCAGTGTGCCAAAATCGTGAATAACTGTTTGCCAGGATTATGGTCTAAGGTGTGTATGTGTGCGTGTCCACTATCTGTACTTTTCAGGGTTTTGGCAGTGAGCATGTAGTTGATCACTAGAGGTAATTTTAATTCTAATTTAATTCTAGAATAAAAATAAAATCACAAGAATAAAATCACAAAATGTTTCTTTTAAATGGACTAAAAGGGGCTTCCCTGGTGGTGCCGTGGTTAAGAATCCGCCTGCCAATGCAGGGGACACGGGTTCGAGCCCTGGTCCGGCAGGATCCCACATGCCACGGAGCAACTAAGCCCGTACGCCACAACTACTGAGCCCGTGTGCCACAACTACTGAAGCCCGCACGCCTAGAGCCCATGCTCTGCAACAAGAGAATCCACCGCAATGAGAAGCCTGCGCGCAGCAACGAAGACCCAACACAGCCAAAAAAATCAACTAAAGGGTGTCCATTTGATTTGCCAGTTAGTAACCTTTTTGAAACCAGTTTCCATGCATTGGTAGAGGTAGAATCTTGCTTGTAAAACTGAGTGGTGTGCGAAGGTTTTGTTGCTTGCTGTTGTTGTTTTAGGATGGTAATGATAGGCATGTATATTTACCAAGTGAAAGGAACAAGTAAAAGTAGAAGCTCAATAGAGGATGATGATAACCAAAAAGCAGGGTTCCAAAAAGAAACGGGGAGTTGGGGGGCAAGAAGGAGCTCAGGTGGATGTGGTTAATTAAACAATAGTTCAGCAAACATTTATTGAGCACTTACTATGTGCCAGCCACTGTACAAGGTGAGGTGCTGAGTTAGCAAGTCAGCTGAGTTAGGAACTGATCTAAAGCAGGAGGATATATACCTCATCCTGCATGAGACTCAAGGTGAAGATGTAACAAAGGGTAAACTCACAGCTGTTTGTGAATAGGGGTAGGTAATTGATGGGAGTCCTCGTCTGACAGCTTCCTTGTTCTTTGTGGAATAGGATGTGAGGTTGATACTTGAGAGGGAAGTGGGAGTTAGGGGGCTTAAGAAGAGTGGCCATAGTGTTGGAGAGAGGATGAAAGGGAGGAGGATGAAAGAGCGATGATAAAAAATACTAAGTATTTAGTATTATGAGAAGCCCGCACACCACAACGAACAGTAGACCCCGCTCGCCGCATCCAGAGAAAAGCCTGCATGCAGTAACGAAGATACAACACAGCCAAAAATAAAATAATTAAAAAAAGAAAAAACTATAAGAGTTAGGAAACAATGTTGAGGGTATAACAGAAACCATGAATGTGTCATCCTTGGAATGCATCATCCATTGGAATGGTATCAATCCATATATTTCTGCTGTCTTCTCTAGCAACACCCAGCTGCCTGGGTACAAGAGCAGAGAAGACATATTATTGTATAGATCCTGGATCATGATTTGTAGACAGGTGAAGAGGATTGACAAAGGAACAAGGGGATTGAAGGTGCTGGTGAAAGATGGAAGCCACCCAATTCAGACTGGCGAGGTACGTTAAACTCTGGTCAAGAGAAGTCTTGATAAGGTCAAAGAGCAGACGATTTAGAAGTGAAAGTGGTAAAACTGGAAGCTCAGGCAGGACATGGTGTCAGAATGATGTTGGAGTTTAAGATTTCAGAGTTGGAACTCTTCCATATAATGCAAGGGCAATAGGAATGGGTGTTTTAAGTGGAGTAAAGATAAAGATCATTGGAGAGTTAAAGAACTAAGGGAGTTTCCATATCCAACTGCCAGGGTAGGTGGCTCATGTGTTTCAGATTTTGTACTGTTATCTCTTATTAGACCCAACTGTATTTTTTTTTAATAAAAGGAAAATGGAAGTGTCTAGTTTAGTAAATGACAACAGCAACAATAAAAGAATTATGGGCTTAGAGTGTTGGGTCAGTAAATCAAGGTGTTTAAATGAATCCAGAATTATGCAAGCCTGGGGAGGAGAAGATGAAGCTAGCTGCCAGTCCTGGTGTAGGAGTGACCAGGAATAGCAGAGAATATGAAGGAGAGTTTAGCTTGATGGGATGAACTCCAAAGCAGGAGGGGTAGCATGCAAATAAGCTTGGAAAAATAAGGGCCTGAAAATGACATTAGGGAACCAGGAGTATCTCTGTTCCCCCACTTTCTGATATAGGAGGGAAAAACCCTCTAGGTCTGCAAATAAAGCTGTGTTTGGGGATAACCTCAGTGTAATTTGAATGAGTGGGTTGAGGGAAATTCTCTAAAGAGGAGTTTCTGTGTGAGGCATCAGAGAAATGAGGGGACCAGGGATGAAAGTATAAGTAGGAGAGATCTGTATTTGGGGCAGGGTCCAAAGATTATAGAGATGGGAACCACTTGTGCAGTGAATTAGCCTAAGGTTCCCAACTTTGGTTCAAAAGTTGTTTGGTACCAGTCTTGACTGAAGGCCCCACAGGGCTATGGAATCCAGTCTCCTCAGGCCTCCCTCTCAGGGTTCTGAGGGGAAGATTAAGCATTCCACCTCTGAGAAGACATTCTAGGAGAAAGAGAATGGAACAGTAGCTTGAACAATGATTACAAAGAGGAACAAGTAAGCTAGACTAAAGCGAACAACTGGAGGAGGGTCCTTCATTTACACCTTTATCAAGTATTTATTGAACTCCTACCAGGGCTTTGTCTTGTTCATTGCTATATCCCCAGCATCAAGTGTTTGGCACATATGTGTTCAATAAGTATTTGTTGAAGGAATAAATTGTTCACTAACATGTTCAGAGTAATCTATAAGTATTCAGAAAACAATAAAAAGAGTTTGACCTCTTTCAACAGTCTCTGAATGGCAGCAGTAGTGGATAAGCAGGGAAATGAGACTTGTAACTGAGAGAACAATGTTGGAAGGGTACTCCCCACATCCCCACACAAAGCTGGGTCTCTCTTTTGGAAAACTTCTAGATGAGCCACATGACTAAGAAAGAACAGGTAAAGGCCGAGTGCTCAGAAGGTCAACCAAGGATAGCTTTTCTGTAAAACACTAACTTATGACAGGAAGAGAGCACTAAATACTGATAACCACATTGTGGTAAAGTGGCCTCTTCAGGTAAAAGAAAAGTTCTGGTATAAACGGAAGTTTAGTGACAGAGGCACTTAGTGTTTTTAGATGGACTTTTTTTGAACCTTCTTTTGACATATATTTATCATGGGTGGATATTAGAGATTAATGCAAAATATGAACTCTTAGTTATTAAATCTTTATTATTAGATTGAAAAGATTGAACTGAATAGAATTTACACAGTACAAGAACTTTTCTCAAGTTATTCATATTAACTGCTAGAGCTACATACCCATCAAGAAGCATCATTCTTGATCAAGTGCCAGCCACCTACCTACCTTACAGTCCCAAACCCAATTAGTAACGTCAAACTGATACTTACGCTAAAATATTTACATTTTTAACTGCATATAAAACTCTCATGGTAGAAATTTGAACATAAGCAGACCTATGGGGGAAATTTGGGGGGGGGGAGGTGGGGGGGCGGGTAGAGACAACTTAATCTATCTTCTTACCCAGTCTGAATCAGGTGGATTCCTTGAACTGTCTTTCACCAGCACCATTAATCACCCCACGTAGATACCACCTACTGAAATATGCAAAGGAAAGACCTGGAATCATTCAGCGATCATGAGTCCTGGTTTGACACTAAAGTCCAGGTCTGGGACTTCCCCAGTGGTGCAGTGGTTAAGAATCCGCCTGCCAATGCAGGGGACATGGGTTCGAGCCCTGGTCCGGGAAGATCCCACATGCCACAGAGCAACTAAGCCCATGCACCACAACTACTAAGCATGCGCTCTAGAGCCCGCAAGCCACAACTACTGAGCCCGCATGCTGCAACTACTGAAGCCTGTGTGCCTAGAGCCCCTGCTCTGCAACAAGAGAAGCCACTGCAATAAGAGGCCCGCGCACTGCAACGAAGAGTAGCCCCCGCTCCCAGCAACTAGAGAAAGCCCGTGTGCAGCAACGAAGACCCAACGCAGCCAAAAATAGATTAAAAAAAAAAAACTGGTAAAGTCCATGTCTGAAGCAACTTTTATGATTAGGAAAGTCTGAGAACACCCTCAGACTTCCGTCCATTGCATTTCTGAGTCATTTCCTTGTCCATTGACCCAAATTGTGTACAGCTACATGCAAGAATTATCCAAAAGTACAGAGTTTAGAACTAAAGAAACATTTGAGATCATTGAGTTCAGTGAAACACTCGCCAAGAGATCATGCCTTTTGTCCAGTTGCACAGCCTCTGTCAGGCAGCTTTTCCGATACCCAAGGCCCTCTTCTCTAGAAGCTGACTTTACAGCAAATTTGGGACTCCAGCTTAAATTTGTTTTTGTTAGGAGTAAACAAACAAAATACTTGAGTTGGAAGTTTGAGAGGAACTCAGGGCCCAGGGTAACAAGCTGGCATCCCATGGTATTCCCTTCAAGTAATTTGACCTATCACTGGTGCTCCTGCCATGGACCGAGGAGAGGACTCATGTAGGACCAGAATATTCTAACTTTCAACCTTGGGACTATTGACATTTTGAACTAGATATTTTGTTATGGGAGCTGTCCTGTGTATTTTAGGATGTTAACAGCATCTCTGTGCTCTACCCACTAGATGCTCAGTCAGGACAATCAAAAAAGTCCCCAGACATTGCCACATGTTCCCTGGGATCCCGTGGTTGGGAACCACTATTCTGACTAAAGGAAGAGTTTCTTGTAACTCAAGCCTGGAGCTATGTAATCCTCTCAGCAGTGCCTATTCTTATTCCTACACCCTTTTGCCTGGTTTCTCTCCCTCACCTTTCCCTCTGGGGCCACCATGCCTTCATCAGATGGGATCCTCTGACCTCTCTCTACCCTCAGTGGCCCTGAAAGTGGCACCTGGGGTGAAAATGGGAAACAAAAGTTTCTACCCTTCCCCTCTTGCACCAAGGGGATCCCCCTCGCTGATAGGAATTTACATAATTGGTTAAAATAAGACAACATGTATGCAAGGCTTAGCTCTTACCTGTAACTGCTGTGAATCAAGGAGAGAGCAGGGCTTTAAGCCCCTTTCCTATCTTGAGGGTGGGCTGGGAGGGAGAGATGAGGGCATAAAGGAATCTGCCCCTTTCTGCACTATTTCCCCTTGACTCAGCGGTCCTACTTCCCCTCCCCAGCCCACACTCGTCCTCACCAGTGCCCATATTTACACACTGCAAACCTATGTTGTCATAGAGAGACATAAACCAGCTGGTTGCTATGAAGGTTTACACACAAACACACACCCTAGGGTACGGCCCAGGCTGAGCAGTGGAGATGAATGGCACTTCTTACTGGGACATGCATTTTTTCTTTCTCTTAATTTGCTATTGTCCTACCTCTTCTTTTCTCCCCACATTTTCATGCTTCTCATTCCTGCTCCCAGATGACACTTCCCACGGACGAGTACTGTTCTTAAACATCTCCCTTGCCTCAGGAAGTCACAGTTTAAAAACAGAATTACTTAACCTTTTTGAACTTCAGTCCCTTAATCTGTAATATGAGGATAATTATAATACAAACCTTATATGGATTTTGTAAGAATTAAATTGGATATGTGTAAAGAAACTTGTATCATGGCTGGCAAAGTACGTGCTCAATAAATGGAATTTGTTCTTATGCTAAAATAAAAGCCTGCTCGGGGGCACCTGGGAACCAACCACAGGTGCCTTTGGAAATCTTGGCTTGTGTGTCCTCTCTGATAGTAGAAAAAAGCTATTGCGGGAGTGTCCCTTGTCCTGTAGAATGATGGAAGAGCAGAATTGTGTGGGAAGATTGCTTTGTGTTTTGCCTTTGTTGTACTCAGATGGAAAGCTGTTTTGGGAAGGAAAACCTGGGTATATGATCTCTTCCTTTCTGTAGTTTGAAATGAAAGAAAAGACACAATACACAAAATCATTGCCTGGCTGAAATGGAAGAGTATAATGGAGGCAGAGTGCTCTCTGGGCCTTTGGCCCTGGCTACCCTTCTCCAGCAGACCCCTATCCAAGAGCAGGCTGCCTGTGTTGGTGTAACAGGCTGGGGCTTATTCCTACTGTAGATTCTGTGCATGACGTCTATTGAATTTTTTTCGAAAAAAAAAAAAAAAAAAAAAACCTGGAACTTTCTAATATCAGATAAAGGGCAGGTATTTCCAACCCTGAAAATAGGTAAGATTTCTCTTCTTCAGCTTGAATTTAGTGTACAGCTATGTTCCTGCAGGAGGTCTCAGTTCCTCCCAACACACTGAGAAAATAGGAAAAAACATTATGCGCCTTGCATTTTCACCTCTGTCCTATTTCACAGAATAGATATCACTATCCTATTTTTACAGGTTAAAACAGATTTGATTGAAAAAGGAAAGATAATTTCTAAACTAAGGATTGTGGTTACATCTGGAAGGGAGTTAGGGGAATGGGATTGAAGGTGATAACCAAAGGAAAGTTAGTCTCATCTTAATGGTTTGCTTTTTTTATAAGGAGAGTATTTATGCATTAATTATGTGATTAAAATTAAATTTTGAATTAGAAGGTAAGACTATTTTACAGACGTTTAATGAAGCTCAGAAAAGGTAATTTATCTAAGGTCATTTGGTAATTGACAGACTCCAGGGTCCATGGCTGCCCCCCCCAAACAACAATGTCCTAGGTACACCCTCATGGAGAACCAGGTTTGGAGCCAAGAGGGAGTCCTGAGCTTTCCCTCTCATGGGCAGTGGGATCATTGTAGTGGGCCCTAGACATTAGCTTTATCACTAAAGGGAGGCGTAACCAAACCATGTCTGACCAACTTGATGACAACCCTGTGACTTGGCCTGTGAAGTGTGACTAAATCACATAGACTCGAAGGTAGGGAATGGGGAAGGATGTAAAGCAGGTTGATAAAGGAGATTATGTTTTACACTTAAGATTTTAACTGGATGTTTCAGCTGGGGTACCAAGATATAATAGATATGAAATTCCAAAGGGAGATACCAGACAGAAATGCAAAGGTTTAAAGGAAATTAACAAGGACCAGTTCCACAAGTCTTGAATCCTCATTTCAAGAGTACAAAAAGTGGGGATAGGGTTTACAAATGAGATTTCTTTGGAGAGAGCTACTACTGTGTTGTGATCCACATCTAATCTGGAGGAGAGGGTGCGGGGAGTACTTCCCTCTTCTCAAGCCTAGAAGGAGGGGCCTTATGGGACAGCTACATCTTGGAATCAACTGCACTTCCTTCTGACAAAGGGTCAAATATACATGAATCCTGGGAACCAAGTATGAAGCCAGGGTAAATCCTGCTCAAGAGAACTTCCTGGACACATAGTGGGACTCTTTACAAAAGATTCCATGTAGAATGGAATCTGGAAAACAGAAAGATGAGGGGGTAGTGGTGGCCATAGAAATACAATGCATCATGTCACTTAAGGGAAGCTGATATTGCCATTGAAAGACCCAGCAGGGAAGCCTCTGATGGATCCACACAAATGCCCATGAGACAGTCAGCTTTCAACATCAGCATGAGGAGAGCATGAAGCCACCAAGAATATTTCTCCCTCTTCCTTCTGCCCCATTCTAGGTGTCAGTGTCAGCATCTAGGAAGTAGAGGAGAAGCCAACTACCACTATTCCACAAAGGCAAGCTTGCAGGCTATACCGATCCTAGCTGTGGGGTGAAGAGTCTGTTCTGCTACTTAAAGTGATCGCAAGACTGTTACCCAAAGGTGAAGAAATGTTAGGGGGGGAATTTGGAATTTTCGTCCAGATCAGAGGGAAACATCTCCTACTGAAATAAATTTTTCAGTGGCAGGAGACAAAATTAAACTTTAATTTTTACTACATCCCTTCAATTGGTACTTGTTAAACATTCCAACTATCATCTTTATATTCTCTGAGGCATTTAATTGGCACTCATGGAATGAGATTTCCAGTTTGTAGTCCAAAGAGCCTTTGAAAGGCTAAGATGCTCTCCACCATAAAACAACTCAAAACAAGGGAGTTTTAGGGATTTGGGGTTTGGTAAATCTGGCTGAGACCAAGAGAATTTAAAGTAGACTCTTAGAGTTAGTTGGAACCTTGAAGATCATCTAGTTCTAATTCCTCCTGAATTAATCTTTTCCAGAGCATCCCTGACAAGTGATCATTTAGTTTTTTCTTGAATAACTCCAGTGTCTTAGAATTTACTACTATCTTCACCCTCATTAAAACTCTTCGAGGGACTTCCCTGGTGGTCCAGTGGCTAAGGCTCCGCGCTTCCAATGCAGGGGCCCGAGGTTCCATCCTTGGTCAGGGAACTAGATCCCACATGCCACAACAAAGATCCCACATGCCGCAACTAAGACCCAGCACAGGCAAATAATTTAAAAAAATAAAAGAAAACATCAATCAACCCTCATTATAAAAAACAAAACAGGGACTTCCCTGGTGGCGCAGTGGTTAAGAATCTGCCTGCCAATGCAGGGGACACGAGTTCGAGCCCCGGTCCGGGAAGATCCCACATGCTGTGGAGCATCTAAGCCCGTGCGCCACAACTACTGAGCCTGCGCTCCACAACTACTGAAGCCCGCACGCTCTAGGGCCCGTGTGCTGCAACTACTGAGGCCCGTGCGCCTAGAGTCCATGCTCTGCAACAAGAGAAGTCATCGCAATGAGACGCCCA